GGAGGACCCTGGGACTATCAAGGGAGAAGAGTGGAGTGCAGGACCCTATCCAGAGAAGCAGTGACACCAGAGATGGGGGCAGAGGCAATGACGTGGAGAGATGGAGCAGCTGGGGACTCTGGACTCAAGGAGGGAGAAGAGCTGTGTGCTGACAGCTGGGGGGCAGGCTTGCGGGGTTGTTTGGAGGAAATTGTAATCATTGCCATGAATCATTTGCATGGAGGGAATTGTAATCATTGCCATGAAATGAAATACGATTGGATGAATGTAAAGCTAATGTTCTCCCATGTAAACTATCACTTAATTCATAATTGTTGTTGTTGTTGTTAAGTGCCATCGAGTCGGTTCCGACCCATAGCGACCCTGTACAGGGTTTCCGAGGGTAATAGAACTTATAAAATAAAAAAAGCTATAAAACTTAAAATCATTTAAAAGACAAGGCTTACTGGTTGGATAGGGACTGGTGTAATCCTGGAGACTATGGTCCTGAGTCACCCTTCAGGTCTGGAACTGAACTCAGTTGTCAGCCAAAAAATACATAGGTGTATAAGGGGAACAATAATACTAAGGAGGTATCCACTCCTTAGAATAATCAACCATTTGAGATCAAAAGGGTAGCATTTGACCAAGGGCAAAGTTCAGAAGGCAAGGATGATGAATGGAAATAGAAAACACAAAAGGAGGTGAGATACATGAGTTACATTGTGGGAATTGAAACTGGTGACATGAAACAAAATGTGAACTGTTGAATGTAAAACTGATTTTCTCTGAAAACCTTCTCTCACTTCACAATAGAAAGTAAAAAAGAAAAGGAGTATTATGCAATATGATCTTCTTTTCCCTGTGTACATGGCACCTGACAGTTAAAGGGCCCTGTTATTGCCAGACCTGAAGGTAATAGTTGGAAAGCAGACTTTTACTACTATTGTAAATGTGAATTGCCAGATAGCAAGAGTCGATATGTAGTGAATTTGCTGTTTGGGATTATGGATGAAATGTTTTATAAAACATTTCTGTTATAAAAATGTGTGCTGATGATGGCATGAGTCATAGACTGAAGGATAACAGGGAGCAGAGGCAGATTATTCAACAAACTGCAAGCACAGGCTTAGTTATGCTTACTTATGTTTAGTTACTAACCTATAGTGAACAGTTTGCTCACTGTCGTTGCTATTGTTAGATGCCATCAAGTCGGTACTGACTCATAGCGACCTTGTGCACAACAGAACAAAAC